ACAGTACTTAACATCATGCTGCCTCTACCACAGTACTTAACATCATGCTGCCTCTACCACAGTACTTAACATCATGCTGCCTCTACCACAGTACTTAACATCATGCTGCCTCTACCACAGTAATTAACATCATGCTGCCTCTACCACAGTACTTAACATAATGCTGCCTCTACCACAGTACTTAACATCATGCTGCCTCTACCACAGTACTTAACATCATGCTGCCTCTACCACAGTACTAACATCATGCTGCCTCTACCACAGTACTTAACATCATGCTGCCTCTACCACAGTACCTAACATCATGCTGCCTCTACCACAGTACCTAACATCATGCTGCCTCTACCACAGTACCTAACATCATGCTGCCTCTACCACAGTACTTAACATCATGCTGCCTCTACCACAGTACTTAACATCATGCTGCCTCTACCACAGTACTTAACATCATGCTGCCTCTACCACAGTACTTAACATCATGCTGCCTCTACCACAGTACTTAACATCATGCTGCCTTTAACCACAGTACTTAACATCATGCTGCCTCTACCACAGTACTTAACATCATGCTGCCTTACCACATAGTACTTAACATCATGCTGCCTCTACCACAGTACTTAACATCATGCTGCCTCTACCACAGTACTTAACATCATGCTGCTCTACACAGTACTTAACATCATGCTGCCTCTACCACAGTACTTAACATCATGCTGCCTCTACTACAGTACTTAACATCATGCTGCCTCTACCACAGTACTTAACATCATGCTGCCTCTACCACAGTACCTAACATCATGCTGCCTCTACCACAGTACTTAACATCATGCTGCCTCTACCACAGTACTTAACATCATGCTGCCTCTACCACAGTACCTAACAACTTGCTGCCTCTACCACAGTACCTAACATCATGCTGCCTCTACCACAGTACCTAACATCATGATGCTTCACAGTACCATACAGAACAGATACATAATAATAATAATAATAATAATTATTATTATTTATATTATCACACCGGCCGATTCCCACCAAGGCAGGGTGGCCCGAAAAAGAAAAACTTTCACCATCATTCACTCCATCACTGTCTTGCCAGAAGGGTGCTTTACACTACAGTTTTTAAACTGCAACATTAACACCCCTCCTTCAGAGTGCAGGCACTGTACTTCCCATCTCCAGGACTCAAGTCCGGCCTGCCGGTTTCCCTGAATCCCTTCATAAATGTTACTTTGCTCACACTCCAACAGCCACGTCAAGTATTAAAAACCATTTGTCTCCATTCACTCCTATCAAACACGCTCACGCATGCCTGCTGGAAGTCCAAGCCCCTCGCACACAAAACCTCCTTTACCCCTCTCCTCCAACCCTTCCTAGGCCGACCCCTACCCCGCCTTCCTTCCACTACAGACTGATACACTCTTGAAGTCATTCTGTTTCGCTCCATTCTCTCTACATGTCCGAACCACCTCAACAACCCTTCCTCAGCCCTCTGGACAACAGTTTTGGTAATCCCGCACCTCCTCCTAACTTCCAAACTACGAATTCTCTGCATTATATTCACACCACACATTGCCCTCAGACATGACATCTCCACTGCCTCCAGCCTTCTCCTCGCTGCAACATTCATCACCCACGCTTCACACCCATATAAGAGCGTTGGTTAAAACTATACTCTCATACATTCCCCTCTTTGCCTCCAAGGACAAAGTTCTTTGTCTCCACAGACTCCTAAGTGCACCACTCACTCTTTTTCCCTCATCAATTCTATGATTCACCTCATCTTTCATAGACCCATCCGCTGACACGTCCACTCCCAAATATCTGAATACGTTCACCTCCTCCATACTCTCTCCCTCCAATCTGATATTCAATCTTTCATCACCTAATCTTTTGTTATCCTCATACCTTACTCTTTCCTGTATTCACCTTTAATTTTCTTCTTTTGCACACCCTACCAAATTCATCCACCAATCTCTGCAACTTCTTTCAGAATCTCCAAGAGCACAGTGTCATCAGCAAAGAGCAGCTGTGACAACTCCACTTTGTGTGTGATTCTTTATCTTTTAACTCCACGCCTCTTGCCAAGACCCTCGCATTTACTTCTCTTACAACCCCATCTATAAATATATTAAACAACCACGGTGACATCACACATCCTTGTCTAAGGCCTACTTTTACTGGAAAAAATTTCCCTCTTTCCTACATACTCTAACTTGAGCCTCACTATCCTCGTAAAAACTCTTCACTGCTTTCAGTAACCTACCTCCTACACCATACACTTGCAAACATCTGCCACATTGCCCCCTATCCACCCTGTCATACGCCTTTTCCAAATCCATAAATGCCACAAACACCTCTTTAGCCTTATCCAAATACTGTTCACTTATATTGTTTCACTGTAAACACCTGGTCCACACACCCCCTACCTTTCCTAAGCCTCCTTGTTCATCTGCTATCCTATTCTCCGTCTTACTCTTAAATTCTTTCAATTATAACTCTACCATACACTTTACCAGGTACACTCAACAGACTTATCCCCTATAATTTTTGCACTCTCTTTTATCCCCTTTGCCTTTATACAAAGGAACTATGCATGCTCTCTGCCAATCCCTAGGTACCTTACCCTCTTCCATACATTTATTAAATAAATTGCACCAACCACTCCAAAACTATATCCCCACCTGCTTTAACATTTCTATCTTTATCCCATCAATCCCGGCTGCCTTACCCCCTTTCATTTTACCTACTGCCTCACGAACTTCCCCCACACTCACAACTGGCTCTTCCTCACTCCTACAAGATGTTTTCCTCCTTGCCCTATACACGAAATCACAGCTTCCCTATCTTCATCAACATTTAACAATTCCTCAAAATATTCCTTCCATCTTCCCAATACCTCTAACTCTCCATTTAATAACTCTCCTCTCCTATTTTTAACTGACAAATCCATTTGTTCTCTAGCTTTCTTAACTTGTTAATCTCACTCCAAAACTTTTTCTTATTTTCAACAAAATTTGTTGATAACATCTCACCCACTCTCTCATTTGCTCTCTTTTTTACATGCTTCACCACTCTCTTAACTTCTCTCTTTTTCTCCATATACTCTTCCCTCCTTGCATCACTTCTACTTTGTAAAAACTTCTCATATGCTAACTTTTTCTCCCTTACTACCTCTTTACATCATCATTCCACCAATCGCTCCTCTTCCCTCCTGCACCACTTTCCTGTAACCACAAACTTCTGCTGAGCACTCTAACACATACATTTTTAAACCTACCCCATACCTCTTCGACCCCATTGCCTATGCTCTCATTAGCCCCATCTATCCTCCAATAGCTGTTTATATCTTACCCTAACTGCCTCCTCTTTTAGTTTATAAACCTTCACCTCTCTCTTCCCTGATGCTTCTATTCTCCTTGTATCCATCTACCTTTTACTCTCAGTGTAGCTACAACTAGAAAGTGATCTGATATATCTGTGGCCCCTCTATAAACATGTACATCTGAAGTCTACTCAAAGTCTTTTATCTACCAATACATAATCCAACAAACTACTGTCATTTCGCCCTACATCATATCGTGTATACTTATTTATCCTCTTTTTCTTAAAATATGTATTACCTATAACTAAACCCCTTTCTATACAAAGTTCAATCAAAGGGCATCCCATTATCATTTACACCTGGCACCCCAAACTTACCTACCAACCCTCTCTAAAAGTTTCTCCTACTTTAGCATTCAAGTCCCCTACCACAATTACTCTCTCACTTGGTTCAAATGCTCCTATACATTCACTTAACATCTCCCAAAATCTCTCTCTCTCCTCTGCATTCCTCTCTTCTCCAGGTGCATACACGCTTATTATGACCCACTTTCGCATCCAACCTTTACTTTAATCCACATAATTCTTGAATTTACACATTCATATTCTCTTTTCTCCTTCCATAACTGATCATTTAACATTACTGCTACCCCTTCCTTTGCTCTAACTCTCTCAGATACTCCAGATTTAATCCCATTTATTTCCCCCCACTGAAACTCTCCTACCCCCTTCAGCTTTGTTTCGCTTAGGGCCAGGACATCCAACTTCTTTTCATTCATAACATCAGCAATCATCTGTTTCTTGTCATCCGCACTACATCCACGCACATTTAAGCAACCCAGTTTTATAAAGTTTTTCTTCTTCTCTTTTTTAGTAATTGTATACAGGAGAAGGGGTTACTAGCCCATTGCTCCCGGCATTTTAGTCGCCTCATACGACACGCATGGCTTACGGAGGAAAGATTCTTTCCACTTCCCCATGGACAATAGAAGAAATAAAAAAAGAACAAGAGCTATTTAGAAAAAGGAGAAAAACCTAGATGTATGTATATATATATATATATGCATGTGCGTGTCTGTGAAGTGTGACCAAAGTGTAAGTAGGAGTAGCAAGATATCCCTGTTATCTTAGCGTGTTTATGAGACAGAAAAAGAAACCAGCAATCCTACCATCATGCAAAACAGTTACAGGTTTTTGTTTCACAGTCATCTGGCAGGACGGTAGTACTTCCCTGGGTGGTTGCTGTCTACCAACCTACTACTAATTATTATTATTATTATTATTATTATTATTATTATTATTTCTACAAAGTACATGATAGAGTTAGTAGGGAAGGTAGAATTAGTAACTAATTTTATATCACTATTGTTATATTTTACATGAAGCGCTCAACCAGTGTGGGACATTCAGTCCAGGGAGTGTTGCATAAGCACATAAGGAGGAACACTGCAGTAGGCCTATTGGCCCATACTAGGCAAGTCCTTCTCACAACCAAACCCACTAACAAAAGTATTTGTCCAACCCATTTTCAATGTTGCGAGCTCGATCCTCAGTCCTCATAACCGCGTGATAGACACACTACTTCCGCAGTCGTATTCTACCTGCAATAGGCCAGTAAGCCGACTGTGATTGTTTTTTTCTTATGACCTTGCACACCCTCGGTGTTTCCCTACCAGGAGCCTCCCTCAGGAAGGTGGTTCGAAACCCAGTATCTGAGGTTGGAAGAACGGGAGCCGGCACGGGAAGGACTGCTGCTACTGGAAGGGTACTCGAACCCACGTCTCACCCTCAGAATGTGGTGTACTGTGGAGAGCGCCGTCCGTGCACACCCACACCTTCCTGTGTCCTTGCTTATGACAGCTTCTGTGAGTACTGCCTCAGTGGTCATGTTTAATTATCAATAACACTTCACAATAAACCCTCTGGGCCATGAAGGCTGCAGCAACATGGTCTAATGGGAATAATAACATGGTCCAATGGTTAGAGTAACATGGTCCAGTGACTACAATCTTTAGCTTGGTAGTAGAGCAGCCTTGTCGAGGGTCTGAATTCGACCCATCCCTCAGATCTTTACAATCGTTGGTATTGTTTTTCATATATTCTTTTAATTCTTAGCTAATGCCTTCTTACGAAGATTTTATATCCAAAGGATTCAAGCTTTATCAAACCCACCGAAGGTGGTTTATGCATATATATACATTATATGTATTATATTTGTACAGGAAAACGTTCTAGCTCGACCTAGAACGTTCTCCTGAACTAATCTTCTTATACTTCCTACGTATTTCTGCAACATTGCAAGGTCTTGATATATTGATAGTAACACGAAAGGTCTAGAGCTATCATTCAACTACCCCTGTGTTTGTTATATATATATATATATATATATATATAATATATATATAATATATATATAATATATAATATATATATTATTGCATTTAAAGTATGGTAATTGCACATCAGGTAATTAAGGAGAACGCACTCTTGCACAACATGACAAGCCAGTTCTCTAATCTTCACGTTCTACACTTGAACTTAAGCCAGTTATTCCACGGGTCGCTACTTGAAGCTTGGTACACTCAGAACAAGTGGAAAGACAGTTACTGGCCGCAGTCTCACCTCAACGATGGTATCAGGTAAGTTTAGCTAAAATTGAACTGTTTGTTTGAAACCTCTCGACAGTTTTGAAAGAGATACAGGAATGAAATTCATGACTGTAGAACAAAAACAAGTTTCCAATCTCGCCATGGAGAGTTGAAAAGTGTTTAAGCTAGTAGTATTATCGTTGTTATCGGACTTTGGTGGGTCTGACCTGCTAAAATGGATAATGTTTTTGACATCTGTTGTGACACCAGTTATGGCCTATCAGAATCCAATAAGAGCATTAGAGCCTCTGGTTCCATCTTCTCTTATATATGAAGGAACTTATCTAGAGTTGTGGTTTAACATATAAAGAAGTTTGTCTAGAGTACTGCTCTAATGTATGATGAAGCTAATCTAAAGTACTGATATGAGAAAGCTTGTCTAGAGTACTGTTATAATGTATGAGGAAGCTTGTCTAGAGTACTGTTATAATGTATGAGGAAGCTTGTCTAGAGTACTGTTATAATGTATGAGGAAGCTTGTCTAGAGTACTGTTATAATGTATGAGGAAGCTTGTCTAGATTTACTGTTATAATGTATGAGGAAGCTTGTCTAGAGTACTGTTATAATGTATGAGGAAGCTTGTCTAGAGTACTGTTACAGTGTATGATGAATCTTGTCTAGAGTACTGTTACAGTGTATGATGAACCTTGTCTAGAGTACTGTTACATTGTATGATGAATCTTGTCTAGAGTACTGTTATAATGTATGAGGAAGCTTGTCTAGATCTAGTACTGTTATAATGTATGAGGAAGCTTGTCTAGAGTACTGTTACAATGTATGGTGAAGCTTGTCTAGAGTACTGTTACAATGTTTGGTGAAGCTTGTCTAGAGTACTGTTACATTGTATGATGAATCTTGTCTAGAGTACTGTTACAATGTTTGGTGAAGCTTGTCTAGAGTACTGTTACAGTGTATGATGAACCTTGTCTAGAGTACTGTTACATTGTATGATGAATCTTGTCTAGAGTACTGTTACAATGTTTGGTGAAGCTTGTCTAGAGTACTGTTACAATGTTTGGTGAAGCTTGTCTAGAGTACTGTTACAATGTATGGTGAAGCTTGTCTAGAGTATTGTTACAATGTTTGGTGAAGCTTGTCTAGAGTACTGTTACAATGTATGGTGAAGCTTGTCTAGAGTATTGTTACAATGTTTGGTGAAGCTTGTCTAGAGTACTGTTACAATGTATGGTGAAGCTTGTCTAGAGTATTGTTACAATGTATGAAGCTTGTCTAGAGTACTGTTTCAATGTATGGTGAATCTTGTCTAGAGTACTGTTACAATGTATGATGAAGCTTATCTAGAGTACTGTTACAATGTATAGTGAAGCTTGTCTTGAGTACTGTTCTCAGCAGGCAGCTTACCAGCATCAAGGCACCACCTTTTCAGGGTGCGCAGTAGTTCTTATTCTTATTTTTTTTACCACCAAGGGGTAAGTTTTAAGGAGCGGATAAGTCTTTGCTACGTTTTTAATACAAAAAAAATGTATCAGGTGGATGTTACTGTGGAAGTACGGAGGCATTTACCTGGATCTGGATGCTATAGTCGTACGGTCCTTGGCTCACCTACCCAACTGCACTGCACGGGAATCTGACAAGTACGTGAATGTACGTGTGTATGTGTCCCCCAGTAGCCATCATGTGCTTCTGTAATATTGTTGACTGTATCCCCACAGCATGAGCAACTAGGGAAAGGATATCAGCCCACTCCCACAGATGGAGGATGCAATCTATGAATTGTAGGGGGATTTACCTCAAATTACTTCCTAATCATTTGAAGGATTCCCTAAAGCATTTGTGTTTTCTTGGGTATGGGGAGATTACCCTAAAGCATGAGGGAGGAAGGGGTGAGTCTGTCTAATAAACTTTTTCAAAGTAAAACTTGACAGTTACGTGGCAGCTGGGGCGCTCAAGTTCTCCCAGGGTCACCCTGTGATATGTGCGTGTCTACACCACTTGGCACACTACTTCAGTGGTACGGTCTGGGGAGCCAATGGTCCTGAACTGCTAACGCAAGTGCTAATTGACAGGTCAGTTTCTCTCCACTGTCCAAAAAAACATTAATTTTTTATAGCTTTTCGTGAGTTTTAATAATAATAATAATATAATAATAATAATAATAATAATAATAATAATAATAATAATAATAATAATAATAATAATAATAACATTAATAACATAATAATAATGATAATAATAATAATATTTTTCATTATTTTTAAATTAGACACAAGAACAGTTTGGTCACTATTCCCATGTTTTACGTGGAGATAGTGCAGGTTATTTCCGTTGGGGTCGCATCCTGGGGTAGAAGAGTGTGAACCCTAGTGGAAATTATTCTTTCAAGTTGGTTTTACATAGTTATCCGACATTAAATAAACCGTTTCTTAAAACATAGCTTACCACTACGCAAACAGAGGACTAGAATGTATCACTAATACTTGCACAAGGGATGAACATGGGGAATATATAATAGCTAAATTCAAATCCAAATACCTACAAAAACCTCTCACAGTGATAAACATCTACAGAGTTCCACAATCAAACATTAGCCAATTTAGTCAAAACCTAGGAAGTATGATAACTGATGCACGCATGAACAAAGATCACTTACTACTCTCAGGTGACTTCAATATAAATCTCCTGCAAGACCAGGACCCACACGTTACTGAATTCACAAACACAATGAGTAACTGCATGTTGCTACCAACAGTAACAAAACCTACAAGAGTTACGGAGACTAGTGTTTCCCTACTTGACCACATCTGGACCAACACCATATCCCCTTTAAAATCAGGCATAATTACAGATAATACCACAGACCACTACCCTACTTTCCTCATAACAATTCTTGGTAAAATACCCCAAGACACTACTAAAGTCACCTTCAGACTTCACAATGAGGCAGCCATTAATAACTTCACAACAGTAGTAACAAACATTGACTGGCACACTGAGCTAGAAATCTATACAGATATTGACGAATGTTTTAATAATTTTCTAAAAAAGACCCAATACCTCTATAACAAGCACTGCCCTAAAAAAACTAAACAGATGACAGCTAAGAGACTGAACAGTCCCTGGCTAACACCCAGCATTCTCAAATCCATAAATACAAAACACCGATATGAAAAACAGTACAGAATGGGTCACATAACCAGAGACCAAACAAAACGTTACTCGTCAATCCTAACCAGCCTGATAAGAAGGGCAAAAAAACTGTATTATGAGAACAGATTATCCAACTTACGAGGTGATATAAAAAAGACTTGGAAGACCCTATCAGAAATTCTGGGAACAAAAAAGATATCACGAAATAGCGAAATAAAATTAGCAAAATCAGATGAACCCCAACTCCCACCAACAGAAACAGCAAACAGACTCAATGATTTCTTCTCCACTATAGGACAAAACCTTGCCAATAAAATCCCAAGCTCAGATACCCCACCAAATGACTACCTCACTGGCAACTACCCGAACACACTGTTCCTAGCTCCGACTAACCCATACGAAGTCTCCCTTATTATCAACGCACTAAAAACAAGGCAGGAGATTTAAATACCTTACCACCCTTTATATACAAAAAAGTGTCACAAGTACTATCACCAATCATTGCAACACTCTTTAACAAATCCATTGAATCCTCCACCTTCCCTACAGCTCTCAAAATAGCAAGGGTCACCCCGATCCATAAAGGAGGAGACCAAACAGAGTTGAATAACTATAGGCCATATCCAATTTACACCCTCTCTCAAAAATCTTCGAAAAATTAATTCATAAACGAATCTACTCCTACCTCATCTCCCAAAACATTCTCAACCCCTGCCAATTTGGATTCAGGCCTAATAAAATACTAATGATGCTGTTATACACATGCTAGAACATATAAACACTGCAATAGAGAAAAAAGAAGTCCCACTGGGGATCTTCATTGACTTACGTAAAGCTTTTGATACAGTTGACCATGACTTGCTCCACGTAAAATTGTCACACTATGGTATTAGAGGGCACTCCCTCAACTACCTCAAGTCATACCTCAGCAACAGAACCCAATATGTGTACGCAAATGGGGCAAGCTCTTCCGCTCAACCAATTACAGTTGGTGTCCCACAGGGAAGTGTCCTTGGCCCTCTTCTCTTTCTCCTATACATAAATGATCTACCAAATGCTTCGCAATTACTCAAACCCACACTTTTTGCAGATGACACTACATACGTCTTCTCTCACCCGAGCCCAGTCACGCTAGCCAATACTGTAAACACCGAATTACAGAAAATATCTACCTGGATGAGGACTAACAAACTTACACTAAACATTTACAAAACCTACTTCATTCAGTTTGGTAACAGAGCTACAGATGTACCTCTTAACATAACGATAAACAGATCACCTATCACAAAGCTAACAGAGGGAAAATTCTTAGGAATCCACCTTGATAATAGACTCAAATTTCATACACATATACAACAAATTTCTAAGAAATTTCCAAGACTGTAGGCATACTATCGAAGATACGGTACTATGTTCCACAGTCAGCCTCCTGGCCCTTTATCACTCTCTTATTTACCCCTATCTCACTATGGAATTTGTGCATGGGGCTCACAACAATTAACCATCTCAGACCACTAATTACCCAACAAAAGGCTGCAGTTAGAATGATAACAAATTCTCACTACAGGCAGCACACTCCACCAATATTCAAAACACTCAACCTACTCACCAATACAAAACATCCATACTTATTACTGCACCTATTACATACATAGAACACTTAACTCTGATATTAACCCTCCCCTCAAACATCTCCTTGCCAACCTCAACAGAACACATGACCATAACACAAGGCACAGATCACTCTTTGATGTTCCTCGTGTCCATCTCACGCTATGCAAAAACTCAATGCACATAAAAGGCCCTAAAATCTGGAATTCATTACCTGTAAATATAAAAGAAACACTACCTGTTTATAAATTCAAGTCTCTTCTCAAAGATCACTTTACTCACTCAAACCAAATAAATACTGAATAACTGAACCTTATAAATTGTATATCCTATATGTTACTCACAATTATATCACACAAATGTTAAACCTAGGACCCAATCTAACTTTGTTATTTTTTTAAATACACTACCTAACAGAATACTCCATTCGACTGAATGTACAGCAATGCATGCAACCATATGACCTGTCTTTGTAATACTCATTTGTGCTTTATAGTTATCTGTTTACAATAATGTTTTATCACTGATTTCATCATTGCTTAGTTAATCTTAAGTTAATTTTAAGCCAGCCCGTAATGCTATGCATATAAGTGGCTTTGGCATGCTGCTCTTACCTGTATTTTTTTGTACCTCTGTATGTATGCTAAAATTACTAAAATAAAATAAATAAATAAATAATAATTACTCAGTACACGCATCAAAGACACGTTAATCTTCGGATAAAACATATAAAACATGACTGTGAGCATTTCCATTCAGAGATCACAATAGTAAATAATTACACTCTTAAATCCTATTCAGAGTATTAGCATCTCTCCTTCCCATCTATCCACTGAATTCTGTTTGGCGTTTCTGCAAAAGTCCCATTTTAATTTCCAGTCTGCAGAAGCTTGTAGATAAGCCAGTGTTACCTCGAGAAAAGGTATTGTTGTGTAAATCCGCGGTACTGCCGTGGTACATTATGGTGCAGGAGGTGAGTGGAGGCAAGAACCAGGCCCCTTCACTCTCCGCATTCTCTATTATTGCCGATCCAATATTTTACTAAACGCACGCGCGCGCGCACACACACACACACACACACACACACACACACACACACACACACACACACACACACACACACACACACACATATATATATATATATATATAATATATATTATATATAATATATTATATAATTATATATATATATATATTATATATATATATATATATATATATATATATAATATATATATATATATATATTATATATATATATATATATGCAAAACAACCACTCTGAAAAAATAGAGAAATTCCAAGCGCTTTCGTGACTACTCACATTATAATGTGAGTAGTCACGAAAGCGCTTGGAATTTCTCTATTTTTTCAGAGTGGTTGTTTGCATATTCTGAAATCACCTGTTTACTGTGATCTTATTGCATTATATATATATATATATATATATATATATATATATATAATATATATATATATATATATATATATATATAATATATATATATATATATATATACAGTGAATTACACGTAAGAGGTAGACACCACCGACTATAGATGCACTCACAAGCAGGATCCAAATGAGGTGGTGAGGTTGTAGCAGGAGAGTGGTGCAACAACCTCAATGAAGATGCAGTGGTGAGGTTGTAGCAGGAGAGTGGTGCAACAACCTCAATGAAGATGCAGTGGTGAGGTTGTAGCAGGAGAGTGGTGCAACAACCTCAATGAAGATGCAGTGGTGAGGTTGTGGCAGGAGAGTGGTGCAACAACCTCAATGAAGATGCAGTGGTGAGGTTGTAGCAGGAGAGTGGTGCAACAACCTCAATGAAGATGCAGTGGTGAGGTTGTGGCAGGAGAGTGGTGCAACAACCTCAATGAAGATGCAGTGGTGAGGTTGTGGCAGGAGAGTGGTGCAACAACCTCAGTGAAGATGCAGTGGTGAGGTTATGGCAGGAGAGTGGTGCAACAACCTCAATGAAGATGCAGTGGTGAGGTTGTGGCAGGAGAGTGGTGCAATAACCTCAATGAAGATGCAGTGGTGAGGTTGTAGCAGGAGAGTGGTGCAACAACCTCAATGAAGATGCAGTGGTGAGGTTGTGGCAGGAGAGTGGTACTTACTGTGATCTTCCATTAGACAGGGAGGAGGGCTCTCGCCCCCTACGTGGCACCAGGTGCTCCTAATCTATCCCTCCGTCGGCCTAATCAGGTTAACGAGGTCAATCTAGTACCCCGACGGGGCGCATTTGGTCGCAGAGTTCTGCATTTGTTGCTGTTGTGGGGATGTTCTCGGCGTCTCTCTCCTCTCTCTCGTTCTCTTTCACTTTCTCTCATTCACAGAAAATGCTCTGCATTCCTAAATTTTCCGTACAGAGATGACCATTAACATAACTGAGTTCGACTCCCACTTGCTAAAAAATAATTCCAGGTGCCATCGGCTGCCTAAATTGGATGAGGCTTTTTTTTTGAGTGCTAATGTACAAAATGACAATAATTGATGCCGGCTGTTGTCGTGAGCGACTTGACATTTGGTAATTTTTTTTTTATTTTAACGCTGGTCTTACCTTCATGGGAATTTTTTTTACCTCCTTACATCATCTGTTCTTTTGAGGCCAACATATTGATAGATAAACATCCATCATTCGGGAAATTTTTATTTTTCCTGGTGCATTCAAGCACGTGAAATTTTTGAAGTAGAGTCAAAAACTACCGATGGAATTTTTTGTTAAATATATTAGTCGATGGAGTCTTTCATTTCTCTCTGGACTCCATACTAACTGGAATTTGTTATTACTAATATGTTGTCTCTAGCACCTGACTCACGAAATCGTAATGACATGATTCCAAACAAATCATACCACGGGTGGGGTTAGAACCCGCGATCAGAGCCTCAAAACTTCAGACCGACGCGTAATATATACTCAGGAATCTCTGTACTTTTTTAAATCTCATATTTGTTTTTATTCCCCGCTGGAATCTCCTTGGATCTGTCCTCGCCGGAATCTCTCCTCTCTGAAATTTCTTTATTTACATATGTTCTCACACGTATATATTGTAAGTACGTGAGAATGTAAGTTGAAAAAAATATAAGAAAAAGACCTTACGGTACTTTGAAGGCGTACAATGAGGAAACTGGAGAAGAAAATTGGTACGTCGTAGGACAAGTTTTTGTTAGGACAACGTTACGCTCTATATGGCGCTCTATCAGGTCATGACATGAAAAAGCTCTACACAAGGATTCACTGTTCCAATAAAGCTTGTTCTGTAACGTACGTGCTGCAACTTTTCTTCTCTTGTCGGCGGCACGACGTTTACATCCAGGAACGGGCAGGGTAAAGTACTGAAATTTAGATGTACTCAAGAGTCCATCTTGCGAACACTGAATCTCATTTCTTAAATCTGATTTTTGCAGTTTTCGTTGTATCACACTAATAGTGCCAATATACTTCTGCTGTGTCTCGTGATCCACTGATAAAACCCATGTTTGCTTTCTTGAGAAAAGTATCGAATTTGTAGATATGCTTTTCCACGATTACGTATATTCTTCATTGTTTTAATCATCCTGAATGAATATTTTATCGCTCATCTGCATATTCATTATTTATGGTCCTTTTCTTGTTTATTATGATCTTAATCCTCCTCTTCCATATTCTTCTTCTGGTATTTTTTCCTACTCTAGATTTTCTTTCTTCGACTTCTGTTTCTTCTTTTTTATTTAATGGTTATAATAATAGCCGTAATTTTAAAGGGATAGACCGGTAAGCCATCGGAAGGCCTCGGTCAGATGATCAAAAACTCCAATTATGGGTCATCATATGGCTAATACTCGTGTCAGGAAACACTTGTTCAGTTAACCTTCTTTCCGCAGCGTCTCGTCTAGTTTCCTGGACGTCTCCTGATATCCTATCACTGACCATTTTTTTTTTTTACCATATATGCTGATGGGACGTTATCGAGGAAATTAATTTTAGGAAAATTATTTATTCTAAGCATTTCTCTAAGAGAGTTTCCAAGGCGTCCTGAAACCGTTGTGTTGTCCAGGCGGGCGTATATAATGTTCCATACCACTCAAGGATGCTTGTTGGTTCTGGTGTCGGTGCTGTGAATGCTTCTTGTGTTAATGATTCATTTTTGGGGGGAGGTTTCCTTGTATCCTGAGTTTTGCTACGTATTTTGTCATCGCGATAAACAGCATCCCCCCGTTTTAATATCTTACACTTTATTTCATTTATTTTGTTGCTAAGATACATTGTCTCCTATTGCAGATGAGACATACAGGTGGGTCTCCATTATTTTATTCCCTGAATTTATATTTTCCTAGCTACACTCAGAATTTATTCTCATTGGTAGCTAACGTTGGCGGTGTTGTCGTACTTGTAGCAGATACAACCTGGCAACATGTTGAAGTATTGTTTTTGTTGGAGATTTCCTGGATGGATGTTGTTGATGATATATGCAGCAACGTTCTTATGGACCTTGTGCACTGAGAAGACTTTTTTACATCTAACCTTCATAACTGAGGTGTATGAGGCTATTATTACTATTGTTGCTATTTTATTGTTGTTGTTGTTCACATGCAACATCACCCCCCCCAATGGAAAGCAGGGGCGCCACGAGTACACTAAGAGACAAGACAGTAAGTGTCAGAGGCCCAAGAATGTTCAACTACCCCCCAGCATGCATAAGGGGGATTACCAATAGACCCCTGGCTGTCTTCAAGAAGGCACTGGACAGGCACCTTAAGTCAGAACCTGATCAACCGGGTTGTAGCTCGTACGTCGGTTTACGTGCGGCCAGTAGTAACAGCCTGGTTTATCAGGCCCTGATCCACCACGAATCCTGGTCACGGACCGGGCCGTGGGGGGCGTTGATCCCCGAAACCCTCTCCAAGTATACTCCAAATATGCATTGACAGTTTTCCACAAAGGTAGTGACCCAAAAAATAAACACATTCACCATCATTCAGTCAATAGCTGTCTTGCCAGAATTGTGCAACCATCACTATTCAAATAACCCACCAAACTGCTATATTACCATCCCTCCTGCAATGTGCAAGCACAGTACTTACCACCTCTAGGACTCAAGTCCGGCTAACCAGTTTTCTGAATCCTTTGATAAATGTTACCTTTACATTCCAACACCACGTCAAACCCTAAATTCTCATTAGTCTCCGCTAACGATGTAACACGCACACATACGTCTTCCTGTGACATTAGTGGGCAAATGAACTAGGGGTAGCTCGATCGCTGGTGCACTCACCTCACACACTGATGTCCGGAGTTCGAATCTCCTCCGGTACAGCTGGAAAACATTAGGGACGAGTTTCCATAAGACACCTGCTGCCCCTGTCCCTGTTCACCCATCAATTTGAAATGGATACCTGGGTATTAGCCGACTGGTGTGTGTCGCATCCTGGGACAAAACTGACCTAATTTCCCCTAAATGATCTGCATAACAAGCGGCTTTTTATATAGTTGTATGTCATTGATGTCAACTATGGTCTGTATACCTTGTACATATACTCGTAGTAAATAAAGATATTATTATTATTATTATTATTATTATTATTATTATTATTATTATTATTATTATTATAAATACTGAGAGAAAATGATAGGGTGGATATGGACAGAGTGACTGAGAGTTCACAGATGGAAATTAAAATTACAGAATAGCCACAGGGATGTTGGGAAATCTCTCTTTATCCTCAGAGTGGTCAGGAAGTGGAACGACCTGGACAGCAAAGTGATAGAGGCAGGATGCTTTAAGAATAGATATTCTCAGGATATATATACACTGGTAGGTATATATGATGGGTTTACCTTAATCCCTATTTTAGGGATTAACACATTCTTGTCTGCTTGTAAAAAAAATAAAGTTATGTGTACCCTTAACGACCCTAATATATTTGACAGACTTTAAACCCCTTTAGCCAACCAACCAATGGGTATGACAGAGCTGGAGAAGGTAGGAGAGGGAACCTTGTAGCGGCCAATGGAGAGGCGAGGCCAGGAACTGAGACTCAACCAGTGTAACCACATATACGTAAGTGATTATACTCTGAGGCTGGTGTTCTGCTACAGGTGTGGACTGGAGCTACCATCTGACCGTGTTCCTGGCTGCCCTGACGTGACAGTGCTGCCCCCTCGAGCCTTCTACCCACTACCTTGGTCAGTCTTATAAACCCCGTATCGATTAATGTTTTGTTTTAAGTAATGCATTTGTACATTAATATTTATCTATCTGGCTTCCATTCTTTATTTTTTTTATCTATCTCGTTGTTTACCTACGTATATACTCATATTTCTGTTTCTATTTATTTGTGATTACTCACCTATATATGAGTGCAGGGTCGATTCTCAGCTCATGGTCCCGCCTCTTCGCTAGCCGCTACTGGATTCACTCCCTGCATCAAGAGCCCTCTCGTACCTTTTCTTAAGGTTATGTATGGATCTTGCCTCTACCACTCTACCAGCGCGGTCATTCCACTTCCTGACTAAGACTGAAGGAATACTTCATAGCTTTCTTGTGACACATCTGTGTTTTCAGCTTCCAACTGTGCTCTCGTGTGCGTGTTTCCTGCCTCTCGAACAGTCTGTTCCTGTTCACCCTGCCAATTCCTCTCAGTATGGTGTTATATCACTATAGTCATTCTTTCTTCTAATGCCACCAGGTTCAGTTCTCTTGATTTTTTCTCGCAGGACATGCCCCTCAGCTTCGGGACTAGTCTCATTGCAAATCTTTCCCCAGTTTCTTGACAGATAAGTGAACTGTAGATATGTAGATATAAATCCATATGTACACCTGTTAACCCTTTTGGGGCCTAGTTCCTAGGCCTTTTGTGTATCCATATGCTCTTGCGCTACCGTCCACAGGATGGATATGGGGTGCACAATAAACTAGCCACTTCGGTGGCAAAAATCTAATTGATAAGGAGTGGGTTCCATATCGGTGCTACGTACTCCAGTATGGGCCTGACTTGTGCCATATACAGTATCATGAATGACTCCTTGCTCCGCGTGTGTGCGTACTCACCTATGTGTGTATGTGTTTACGTATGCAATACATGTATATTTCCATTTATAAATGTATTCTTTCACGTCAGAAAGTGCAAAAACACCTCCAGCCAGAATGCCACAATAATCCACACTCACACCAGCACACAACACCCCAGGAGCTGTAACTCGATCCCTGCAACTGCAAATAGGTGAGTACACATCAGCTGACACCTAATAACCACACATACACAAGCATACTCCCACCCCAATACTCACACAACACATACCTACTTCTACACAGACACTCACATAAGCGCGCGCGCACGCACGCACACACACACACACACGGGGCCAGGAGCTGAGTCTCGACCCCTGCAACCACAATTAGGTGAGTACACACACACACACACGCACGAGAAGGACAGGATGAGCCCTTGGTTCACTCATAGGTGCAGAGAGGCCAAAACCAAGTGTGCTAGAGAATGGAAAAAACATAGAAAACAAAGAACCCAGGAGAATAAGGAGAGCAGTCGTAGAGCCAGAAACGAATATGCACAGGTAAGAAGGGAGGCCCAACGACAATACGAAAATGACACAGCAACAAAAACCAAATCTGACCCAAAGCTGTTGTACACCCACATGAGGAGGAAAGCAGTAGCCAAGGACCAGGTAATCAGGCTGAGGAAGGAAGGAAGGGAGATCATAAGAAGCGACCGAGAAGTATGTGAGGAACTTAACATGAGATTCAAAGAAGTGGTCACAGAGGAGACAGAAGGGACTCCAGAAAGACGTAGAAGTGGGGTCCACCATCAAGTGTTAGACACAATACATACAACTGAGGAAGAAGTGAAGAGGCTGCTAAACGAGCTAGATACCTCAAAGGCGATGGGGCCGGATAACATCTCTCCATGGGTCCTGAGAGAGGGAGCAGAGGCTCTATGCGTGCCACTAACAACAATCTTCAACACATCTATCGAAACAGGGCGACTACCTGAGGTATGGAAAACTTCAAATGTTGTCCCAAATTTTAAAAAAGGAGACAGACACGAAGCATTAAACTACAGACCAGTGTCACTGACATGTATCGAATGCAAAGTCATGGAGAATTAAATCAGGCTGGACACCTGCTCCAGCAACTGGCTTCTCGAATTTAACCCCGCCAAATGCAAAGTCATGAAGATCAGGGAAGGGCAAAGAAGACCGCAGACGGAGCATAGGCTAGGTGGCCAAAGACTGCAAACCTCGCTCAAGGAGAAAGATCTTGGGGTGAGTATAACACCGAGCACGTCTCCGGAAGCACACATCAACCAGATAACTGCTGCAGCATATGGGCGCCTGCAAACCTGAGAATAGCGTTCCGATACCTTAGTAAGGAATTGTTCAAGACACTGTGCATCGTGTACGTCAGGCCCATACTGGAGTATGCAGCACCTGTTTGGAACCCACACTTGATCAAGCACGTCAAGACATTAGAGAAAGTGCAAAGGTTTGCGACAACGTTAGTTCCAGAGCTAAGGGGAATGTCCTACGAAGAAAGGTTAAGGGAAATCGGCCTGACGACACTGGAGGACAGAAGGGTTAAGGGAGACATGATAACGATATACAAAATACTGCGTGGAATAGACAAGGTGGACAGAGACAGTATGTTCCAGAGAGGGGACACAGAAACAAGTGGTCACAATTGGAAGTTGAAGACCCAGATGAGTCAAAGGGGTGTTAGAAAGTATTTCTTCAGTCATAGAGTAGTCAGGAAGTGGAATAGCCTAGCAAGTGAGGTAGTGGAGGCTGGAGCCATACATAGCTTTAAGATGAGGTATGATAAAGCTCATGGAGCAGGGAGAGGGAGGACTTAGTAGCACTCAGTGAAGAGGCGGGGCCAGGAGCTGAGTCTCGACCCCTGCAACCACAATTAGGTGAGTACAATTACGTGAGCACACACATACACACAAACAAACAAACAAACAAACACAGGCACACTTTTACTCGTTTCACTACACTAACATTTCCCTGCTCACCACACTAACCTTTTCTCTCCCTGCTCACCACACTAACCTCTTCTCTCCCTGCTCACCACACTAACCTCTTCTCTCCCTGCTCACCACACTAACCTCTTCTCTCCCTGCTCACCACACTAACCTCTTCTCTTCCTGCTCACTACACTAACTGTATTCACCGTGCCTTAGGTGGGAGTGGCGTCGCTATATGCAGGAAGACCCAGCCTTGGCGTATGACCTTCTGAATGACGCCCAGGTCTACTCTCTCCATATGTGGAACCTACACACCCGCCACAAACCTGTTCTTCTTACTTCAAACCAGATCTACGCCCTCGCCGCCCACGCCCTCTGCCCCACAACCGTCGCCCACGCTGGTTTGACCATGTAAGGTGACCCGCTCAGAGAGACGGAGGCTCTTGTTGCAGTCTTGTCAACACACCTCTACTTCTCCATATCCTAGCATTACCTCTGTGTCCTCTGGATTGGAGTAGTGTATAGGATGTCCTCATACAATAGAGTGAAAAAGTAATGTGAAGGACCTGGGAGTGATAATGTCAGAGGATCTCGCCTTCAGAGATCACAACAACGTATCTACCGCATCTGCTAGAAAAATGATAGACTGGACAATGAGAACTTTCAGAACTAGGGACTCCAAGCCCATGATGATCCTCTTCAAATCGCTTGTTCTCTCTAGGCTGGAATGCTGCTGTTCACTAACTGCCCCCTTCAAGGCACTCCAAGCCCATGATGATCCTCTTCAAATCGCTTGTTCTCTCTAGGCTGGAATGCTGCTGTTCACTAACTGCCCCCTTCAAGGCAGGCGAAATTGCCGACCTGTAAAATGTACAAAGAACTTTCACAGCACACATAAGTACGATAAAGCACCTAAATTACTGAGAACGGTTGAAGTCCCTTGATTTATATTCCTTGGAACGCAGGCGACAGAGATACATGATAAAATACACTGGAAAATCCTAGAGGGATTAGTACCAATCTTGCACACGAAAATCACTCCCTATGAAAGCAAAAGACTAGGCAGGAGATGCAACATTCCCCCAATGAAAAGAAGGGGCGCCACGAGTACATTGTGAAACAACACAATAATTGTCAGGGGTCCAAGACTGTTCAACTGCCTCCTAGCATACATAAGGGGGATTACCAACAGACCCCTGACTGTCTTCAAGAAGGCACTGTACAGGCACCTACAGTCAGTACTTGACCAGCCGGGCTGTGGTTCATACGTCCGTTTGCGTGTTAGTCGACTGGTGTGGGTCGCATCCTGGGATACTGACCTAATTTGGCCGAAATGCTCAGCAGAACAAGGGGCTTTCTATATAGTAGTATGTCATTGATGTCAGCTAGGACTGTATACCATGTGAATGTACTTGTAGTAAATAAAGATATTATTATTATTATTATTATTATTAATTATTATTATTATTATTATTATTATTATTATTATTATTATTATTATTAAGTAGCTACCCTCTGTTTATTCACCATCTTCTGTTCCGTGTGGACAGTGTGACAAAAAGATACATAGGAGAAACAGAAAAAACTATCGACCAGGTTGAACAAACAAATGTGCGTGTAGAAAGGTTGACTAAAGCAATACTTGTGTTGTCCACAAGAACAATGAAGGCCACCTTATGTGTTGGGAAAAAAAAACACCCTATTTGCCTTTACCGAACCAAAACTGAGTCGACATCGTTGCTTCAAGGCCACCCTTATCGTTATTTCTAGCGTCGTTTGAACAACGTATCGACCACATTGGATCACGTAATCAGCAACTACTCTTCAGCATGGCCACATAGCACCACAACTACGAGGAGACCTGTCTGATGCTCACCTATCCTGAGAACACTTACCTCACATGTGCTTGATAATAATAATAATAATAATAATAATAATAATAATAATAATAATTTTATTTGCTACAAGTACCGGTACAGGGTATACATGCCTAGTTGACATAAGTGACACTACTATAAAAAGCCCCTTGTTATGCTGAGCATTTCGGGAAAATTAGATCAGTTTTGTCCTAGGATGCGACCCACACCAGCCAACTAACACCCAGGTACCCATTTTAAACTGATGAATGAACAGGGACAGCAGGTGTCTTATGGAAACACGTCCCTAATGTTTTCCAGCCGTACCGGAGGAGATTCGAACTCCGAACCTCAATGTGTGAGCTGAGTGCACTAGCGATGGAGCTACGGTCTATGAATACTCTATCTCTTGTACCCTGTGTATCACGCGTGAACAAAGTCCCAGGACTGAAGTGTTTCTCCACTAAGGTGTCTCAGGTGTAGCTTGTGTCTGTAACAACAAATGTAAAAGTGTTGCAAGGTATGTAATAACAACTTTAATAATGAGTGTAATAATGACTACAATGAAGATAAGTGATAAGTTTAAAGGTTTGAGTTCATTACAAAAAAATGATTATTAAACGAGAGTGGATACTTGGACAAATAAAAGTATAATAATTTTCAGTTTCATTATTGATCTCATTATTAACCTGATTGTTAATTCTATTATTAATCTCGTTGTTAAATTTATTATTAATATTGCTACTCATTATTAACCTCATGTTTAATGCTATTATTATCCTCATTGTTAATGTCATTATTAATCTCATTGTTACTCGTTATTAACCTCATTGTTAATATTATTAACCTCTTTACTAACCCCATAACTAATTTTATTATTAACTTCATTATTAACTTCATTATTAACATCACTACTAACGGAGCATGGAAATGCTCTATACAATACAGGAAAAACGTAAATGGAAAAAAAAATTCTCTGAACCTAGTATTAGATTTCACCATTTTTTTTTTAATTTAAAGCCGCTATTACACATCACTCGCATACATCCTGTTCCGTAGATCAAACCTGATTATCTCCCATTTCCCCAAACGCCGCTTGACCTCTACGGGTTTGGCGCTTTCCCATGATCCATAAAGCATTATTGTCTCTCACATACAGCTTTCCGTGTCTTTATGTACACCTGTTAACCCTTTTGGGGCCTAGTTCATAGGTCTTTTGTGTATCCATATGCTCTTGCACTACCATCCACAGGATGGATATGGGGTGCACAACAAACTAGCCACTTCGGTGGCAAAATCTAAAATCTAATCCGTGTCTTTAACACTATTTTTTTAGCATTTCCTCCAGTCATGCTGGTTTTAATCTCTCTTTTTTCGAGTTTGGCAAATATTACATTTTCACAAATTAATATTAACAGTAATGGATATTTTAATCTTTTAAGCCTTAATTCATAAAGTAAATTCTAAGTGTATACATACTCGTGTATACATCCCTTCAAGGCTGTATATACACTGTTCACGAAATCGTAAATAACAGGATTGCAAAGAGTCCACGGAACGAGTGGGATCTAAGCCCATGGTGAGTTTTACGACTCTCTATAAGTTCAAACCCCACCCGTTCCGTGGTTTATATACACTGCTGTTTTCATGCATATATATCAAAGTATACCTCAGAATATACACAGTTCCAAGTCTATCTTCTCATCTTGCACTGACTTTACCCCACATTTTTGTTTTCATCTTCGTTCTCTACTACGCCTTCTTCTCTACTTTTTTAAATTCTATCTCCCGCTTTCTCTTACCTCCCACTGCAAATCTTTGATTTCATCTAGGATTTACATGGCGTTCTGCCGACAATAGCAAAGAAAATACACAATTTGCAGAGAAGTTTATATTGGGACACAGTTCAAAACGATGTCCCAGTGACTCCTTACTCTACACTCATAAGTTTCTCCCTCTTGGAATACGACTGGTATAAATATGTCGACAACCAAGACATGACAAACATCTCAGCGAGCGAAATGTAGCATAAATAAATATTCCACAACGTTCCTTTGCAACAATATATCTTCGTTAATTCTTAGCCACCAGGTTCACGCCAGCCTGGTGGCCTGGTGGCTAAAGCTCCCGCTTCACACACGGAGGGCCCGGGTTCGATTCCCGGCGGGCGGAAACATTTCGACACGTTTCCTTACACCTGTTGTCCTGTTCACCTAGCAGCAAATAGGTACCTGGGTGTTAGTCGACTGGTGTGGGTCGCATCCTGGGGGACAAGATTAAGGACCCCAATGGAAATAAGCTAGTCCTCGATGACGCACTGACTTTCTTGGGTTATCCTGGGTGGCTAACCTTCCGGGGTTAAAAATCCGAACGAAATCTTATCGAGAATCCAAGGGCTCATCGGTACGTCGTATGGAACTTTTCGCCAGTATGTGGACGTTTCGCTCATTCTTGATCATCGGTGACAAGTTTCAACTCCATTCTCCTCTTATTTTGACCGAGGCACCATTCATTGTGACATTTTTTCCATTGTGTAGGTATTTTATTATACCTTATTCCATTGTGTAGGTATATAGGCTTACCATTGCATTAACACGCCAATCATCCCAAAATATTCTTATCATATTACCGTATCAGTACGAAAATACGTAAACGATAAAAAACCTAAAAGTCAGATATTTATTTTTGTTATCGCGTTGATGGTCTTTCAGTGTCAGCTTGACGAGGCTGAACCACGTAGTCGCATTGAGAGGCCCAAGCGACGCTCACTGCCCCTCCATAATCCCTGGAAGTGACTGTGTATAGAAGCTTGCTGAATATTCCTTTTACCGTCACGCCAGTACCTGGAACCCACTCACCTCAACACACCAGTACCTGGAACCCACTCACCTCAACACACCAGTACCTGGAACCAACTCACCCTAACACACCAGTACCTGGAACCCACTCACCTCAACACACCAGTACCTGGAACCCACTCACCTCAGCACCGGTACCTGGAACTCACTCACCTCAACACACCAGTACCTAAAGCCCACTCATCTCAACACACTAGTACTTGGAACCCATTCACCTCAACACACCAGTACCTGGAACCACTCACCTCAACACACCATTACCTGGAACCCACTCACTTCAACACACCAGTACCTGGAACACTCACCTCTACACACCAGTACCTGGAACCACTCACTTCAACACACCAGTACCTGGAACCCACTCACATCACCAGTACCTGGAACCCACTCACCTCACCATTACCTGGAACCCACTCACCTCAACACACCAGTACCTGGAACCCACTCACCTCAACACACCAGTACCTGGAACCAACTCACCTTAACACACCAGTACCTGGAACCCACTCACCTCAACACACCAGTACCTGGAACCCACTCACCTCAGCACCGGTACCTGGAACTCACTCACCTCAACACACCAGTACCTAAAGCCCACTCATCTCAACACACTAGTACTTGGAACCCATTCACCTCAACACACCAGTACCTGGAACCACTCACCTCAACACACCATTACCTGGAACCCACTCACTTCAACACACCAGTACCTGGAACACTCACCTCTACACACCAGTACCTGGAACCACTCACTTCAACACACCAGTACCTGGAACCCACTCACATCACCAGTACCTGGAACCCACTCACCTCACCATTACCTGGAACCCACTCACCTCAACACACCAGTACCTGGAACCACTCACCTCTACACACCAGTACCTGGAACCCACTCACCTCAGCACACCAGTACCTGGAACCCACTCACCTCAACACAGCAGTACCTGGAACCCACTCACCTCAGTACACCAGTATCTGGAACCCACTCACCTCAACATACCAGTACCTGGAACCACTCACCTCAACACACCAGTACCCGTAACCCACTCACCTTAGCACACCAATACCTGGAACCACTCACCTCAACACACCAGTACCTGGAACCCACTCACTTCAACACACCAGTACCTGGAACCCAATCACTTCAACATACCAGTACCTGGAACCCACACACCTCAAAAAAAACATTACCTGGAGTCCACTCACCTCAACACACCATTACCTGGAACCCACTCACCTCAACACACCAGTACCTGGAACCCACTCACTTCAACACACCAGTACCTGGAACCCACTCACTTCAACACACCATTACCTGGAATCCACTCACCTCAACACACCATTACCTGGAATCCACTCATCTCAACACACCATTACCTGGAGCCCACTCACCTCAACACACCATTACTTGGAACTCACTCACTTCAACACACCAGTACCTGGAACCTGTATACTTTGCAAATAAGAACCTTTCTCCAGCAGAACAGAATTATTCTCAACTTGATAAAGAAGGTCTAGCTTTAGTGTATGCTGTCAAGAAATTCAGATATTTTTTGCTAGGTAGAAAGTTTGTTGCTCGCACAGATCATTAACCATTCGTAGCTTTGTTTGGAAAAGTTGAACATATTCCAGTCAATGCAAATGCCAAAATCAGCGTTGTGCACTGTTATTAGCTCAGTATGATTACGAATTGTTATTCAAGGCTGACAAGGAAAGTGTTATTGCAGATGTATTAAGTAGATTACCTATTGAAGATCATAGAGTCAGGTACACGTATTGAATATATAAGATTAGTAGAGTGTCTAGATTTACAAAATATCTCATCTGACAAAATCAAAGAGGAAACTGGGAATGATGGTTGTATTATCCCAAGTAGTAAATAATGTTAAATATGGGCGGTGTAAGAACAGTGTACTTTTATCTGACTATAATTCCGTCACATCAGATCTGATTATTCATGATGATGTAGTATTGTATAGGAATAGAGTGGTAGTGCCTGTAGAATTAAGATGTAAGGTATTAGAGCATTTACATATGAGTCATAATGGTATCAATGTTATGAAAGCAGAATCAAGGAAGTGGGTCTGGTGGCCAAAGATGAACCAAGATATTGCGGAAGTGACTAAGAATTGTTCGATTTGTTTTAAAAATTTTAAGTCAGTTTCATCTTCTGTCCTATCTTGGCCCCGCTCAGGGTCTTCATGGTCTAGAGTGTATATAGATTATGCAGGCCCAGTTGAGGGCAAATATTTTTTGGTAACTGTAGATTCTTTTTCAAAATTTTTAGATGTGCAAGTAACTAGTTCCATGACATCCACAGTTACTACTGAATTTCTGAGGAAATCCTTTTGTAATTTTGGATTACCAGACATAGTTGTGTCAGATAATGCTACATACTTTGCATCACAAGTGCTGGAAGCCTTCTTTAGTAAGAATAGTATTGAACATGTTACTCCAGCCCCATACCATCCATCATCAAATAGTCTGGCAGAGAGGGCAGTAAGGACGGTGAAGGAAGGATTACACAAATTTACAAAAGGATCTCTCAATACCAGACTATGTAGGTTCTTATATAACCATAAGAAAACTGTTCATTCCTCCTCTAGTAAGACACCAGCAGAAATGATGTTTAATGGGAATTTTAAAGTCCCAGTAGGGCTGTCAAACGTCATCTTAAGGAAGACAAGCCATTGCCTAACATGCCTGCTGGTGAACTTCAGGAAAAGGCGAAGCAATTTCAAGTTGATGATGCTGTGTATGCCAAAAATTTTAGGAAAGGTGACCCTTGGGTAGAAGGGAAGATTGTGGAGGTATTAGGGGTTAGGAATTACAAAATGTTAATTAGAGGTTTTGGTAATATAATATGGAAAAGAAATAGATCACCTCATGCCAAGGTTTAGGAGTGGAGAGCAAACACTGGTTTCAACAGTACCAGAAGCTGTAAGGAGTGGTTTAGAGGAACTGCCCACAATAGATAATAGTGGTAATAAACTTAAGAATCAGGTTATCATGCAGGAAAAACCTCCTGGGAGATTTGATGAAGAAAACAAGTGTGAGAGGAGAGGTTGCACCTCAGGACAGTACAAACCCTCCGTTTCTCCAGCGTTCCTGAAGAGTGATCAAACCTCCAGATAGGTTGGATTTATAAGTAGTTTGGATGATGAGCTAATCTTTATATGGTAACCATTCCACCTGTTGTGATGATATAAAGTAATTTAGAAAAGGAGGAATGTAAGGTGTTGGGGGCAGTGAGAGGATTAGATACTATGTTATGTTCATTCTTTTATAACTATTGTTGTTGTTGTTGTTGAGCCGGGCCGTGGAGAGTACACTTGTTATTGTTACTCTGGCTTTCATTAACCTACAACTATAACACAGCATACATAAGGGGGATTACCAAGAGACCCCTGGCTGTCTTCAAGAGGGCGCTGGACAGGCACATAAAGTCAGTACCTGACCAGCCGGGCTGTGGTTCTTACATCAGTTTGCGTGTGGCCAGCAGTAACAGGCTGGTTGATCAGACCCTGATCCACCACGAAGCCTATTCTCAGACCTGGCCGCGGGGGCGTTGACCACCGAAACTCTCTCCAGGTATACTCCAGGTATACATCAGTACAGTTACAGAAATTATCAGTCCCTCCAGGCTGAGGGACTGACAACCTCAAATTCTACGACTTCAAGGGTGATGGACTGATTACATCGTCTTCACATCTCTACTGTTCCTGCCTACTTTCTGTATTCGACTGAAGAAGCCTACTGTGTAGGCGAAACGTTTCGGAATAAAGTTGCCTAACTGTTGCATATGTCTTACCTAACAACATAGTAACGTGTAAATTACCTAGGATAACACAAAAAAAGTCAAAGTGACTTATTTTGAGAGTCTAGCATCATTAAGATAATGTCATTATCAGTATTTTTTTTCCTGGCAAGACAAAGAAGTCCACCTGACCTAAGTGGGAATTTTATTGCTCCCATTTCGTTTTCCGGAGGAAACTGTTTTCTTTCTAATTCTTGTTCATATTTAGGCAGTTGTTAATTAAGTTGTACCACCTGAGCGGCTAGTTTGCTGTGCATGTTTCCTTATTTGGCTGTCCTATTCACCTAGTAGTAGTGGGTGTTAGTCTAACTGGTGAGGCTGGCATCCTGGGAGACAAGACTGAAGGACTCCAATAGAAATGTGACATTACAGTCCTCGATGACGCACTGACTTTCTTGAGTTATCCTTGATGGCTAACCCTTCCCTTGTTAAAAATGCAAACAAATCTTACCTTATCTTATACTAATCCTGTGAGCGGTAGCGATCCACTTCGAGGACAGCGTGAAACAAGCTTTTATGCCACAAGACGGGCAGAAAGCAGCAACTTCACTCTGGCTGTACCCTTCTCCAGAACATCACTCCATCTGAGATCATATATACCCAGGATGACTCGAGTATGGAACACATTCGTACAGCATAATGATGTCAACGAGATAAAGTCAGTTGATCAAATGAAAATGCTGGCCCACAGATGGCTCCAACTTCATCCTGTTCCCTACTTGTATGTCTCATAACAAAAATGCTTTCAAATGAGCTGATGTAGGTAACAGCTCTTAGCTTGCTAATAAAGTTAGGAATCTTTAACCTGTAAATAGCTTGTCAATAAAGCTAGGGATCCTTAACCTTGTCAAACCCTGTGTAAAAAAAAAAAAAAAAAAAAAAGACAGGATTACAGAGGTCACAGTTGGTTTTTGTCAGACCACACCGATCATAATTACACCACAAAAAATATATATGTTACTGTCATGTCATTGGAAATAAGTCACTGACTTTTTTGGGGTTATCCTGGGTAATTTACACATCTGTTGCTATGTATGATAATTGCACTTATGTGTACCTGTACCTAAATAAACTTGCTTACTTCAAATAAGGCTTCTGGCGGCTAAATCTCTCGCTTCAGCAGCGCTGTATAGCCCTTGTGGCTTAGCGCTTCTTTTTTATTATAATAATAATAATCACACGGTGAGGGGACTGGGTTTGATTCCCAGCCAAGGTAGAAACATTGGGCGTGTTTCTTTACACCTGTTATCTATGTTCCTCGTCAGTAAAATGGGTACCTGGGTGTTAGTCGACTGGTGTGGGTCGCATCCTGGGACACTGACCTAATTTGCCCGAAATGCTCAGCATAACAAGGGACTTTCTATATAGTAGTATGTCATTGATGTCAGCTAGACCTGTATACCTTGTACATGTACTTGTAATAAATAAAGATATTATATTATTTTTATATTATTATTGTAAGACTCTTCTAAAAAAAAAAAAAACTTACTCACCCAGGACTAAATAATCAACACTCAATATTTAACATTACCAATAATTTTCCCAATTACTTAAATCTTAAAACTTCAAGACAACATATAGTAAATTGATCATCTTGTTTGTTATACATTGTAATGCGACAAATTTGTACAACTATAATGCCTCAATATCAAAATGTTCAAATTTCATTGTTTCAAATACTCAATTGTACTTCATACTGTAAATTGTTTACTGTAATTTCTACCACTGAACCTTTCATTGCCGGTTAATTTTAAGTTAATTTTAAGCCTGCCCATAATGCTTTGCATACAAGGGGCTTTTTGCATGTACACCCAACTACTATAATCCCTTATACAACTATGTATCATGTCCAGATAAAATATATGAATATGAAGTCCACCTCTGGTGTAAATTGTGGGACCCACAGCCTCGGAGAAGTGGATAAAAAGGCTTCAAGGAAGAGTATTTGGATTTCTTCCTGAAGCTGTTTAAATATTCCACTTCCCCTACCACCTCATCTTTTCGTTCTATTTTACCAACAGGTATATTTTATTACATAATATGGTTCAAAAGGTTTAAGAGATACATTGTTGATATAAAGATGGCATATAAAGCACATGAGATGTGAGAGATACATGTCTAGTACATACTGTTACATGTTTGTCACTGATTATAATGCAAAAATCTCATCCAGCTCTTCAGAACTGGGGCTCGTGCCCAAAATACAGCAGGTATTACCCCTCTGAACAGCAGCGCTGAGTTGCTGGAACAGAAAACTAGCTGCCCTGGGATCCCTAGTTACCCTGATGAGTCTTTTGCCTAGCTCCTTAAGGAACTTAGATGCACCCTTTTCCCATGAGCCAAGGGTCTCTGAGCCTATTGGAACAAACATATAATGATGGGCAAGTTCTCCCTATTTTCTAGATTTTTGGGACTCCCTGAAGCTGGCGGCTGCCCCTCCTTCTTCCTTGGTGTATTGGAGATAGGTATCTGCCAAGGTAGAAGCACATGTGTAGTCCCATACCACCTGCTAACCGTCTGTTCAGGCTTGAAGTGTGATACCATCTGGATGCTTCTGGCTGCCATCAGATCTGCATAGTTGGGGTGGCTCCCTTACTGCTGGGCATCTGGCTGTTGTGAGGCTCCTCTTGATAATGTTATTAACCTCCTCATGTCTTGCAATCTTTCCCTCGGATTTACAGCACACAAGACCATGGTACCCGAATCGGTGTGCTGCTTCACTGCCACAAATACACCTGTGTTCGGCGAAAATAGGGGCGGCAAGTCGAAGGGCAACACCAATGCGGATGATCTGTGGGTCGATCCGTGTGCCAAGGCTGGAGTTGGGAAAAGCCCACAGAAAGTCCCCTGCGTGAGGAGCTCTCACTGCCAGGAGGCGGGCTCTATCCTTCCCTGACACACACTGAAGCATTGTTGAGGCTATTTTCTCCACCATCGGGACATCCCAATGCGACTGTTTGTAGTTGTTGGGGGAGCAGGTCTGGTTTCAGAGCCCGTTAGATTATCCCAGATCATGGCTCCGTCAATGAACTTTTGGTCCTGGACTCCAATCTTGTCCCTAAGATGTTCAGGGAGAATTTCTGCTACAAGCCCTCAGGATGCAATGCATGAGGACAGAAAACTAGGTAGTGCAATCTGTGATGACTTGCAGACACCAATGTCTTTTGGTCTGACTAGTAAGTAAGTAAGTAAGTTTATTCAGGTATACACAAATACAGTTACATAGAATTATCATACATAGCAGCACATGTGTAGAGAACCCAGGATAACCCAAAAAAGTCAGACAGAGTGACTTATTTCGATTGGGGAAGTGTAGCTTGGTTACACTGCCCATCTTCTAGAGTAAGGTTAAGTACGTTCGTAAAAATCTGCCTCAGGATACTGCCAATTTCTTCCTGAGGATTATGTCAATGGCATCGCTTCCCAGAGGTGCTCCAAGCAAGACACTATTTGTAGGGGCAATGACTGATTCGTCTGATGAATATATTTTTTCTTTTAGTCCCAGCTAGGAGGACTCAATGAGGAATAACCTTTGGTGGCCCTTAACAACCTTAACACCAGCAACAGGTACTTCATAAGGAACCTACTTCTAGTTCCTGTTTCTATTTGCAAAGGAACTCTTGTTCCTTTTTCTTTCATAGCCCAGCATTGGGTAACAAATCTTTCCCGTAGATCGGGAAGGCGGCCTCGATACGGCGTAAGCAGTCAGTGGCCCTGATAAACCCAAACAACAACAACAACAACAACATAAGGGACCTCTCGAGTGTCTGCCTCGCAAGGAACCTCCTGAATGTCTGTTTCGTAAGGAACCTCTCAAGTGTCTGCTTCGTAAGGAGCCTCTCCAGTGTCTGCCTCGTAAGCAACCTCTTGAGTGTCTGCTTCGTAAGGAATCTCTTGAGTGTCTGACTCGTAAGGAACCTCTTGAATGTCTACTTCATAAGGAACCTCTTGAATGTCTACTTCATAAGGAACCTCTTGAATGTCTGCCTTGTAAGGAACCTCATTAGTGTCTGCCTTGTAAGGAACCTCTTTAGTGTCTGCCTTGTAAGGAGCCTCTTTAGTGTCTGCCTTGTAAGGAACCTCTTTAGTGTCTGCCTTGTAAGGAACCTCTTTAGTGTCTGCCTTGTAAGGAACCTCTTTAGTGTCTGCCTTGTAAGGAACCTCTTTAGTGTCTGCCTTGTAAGGAACTTCTTTAGTGTCTGCCTTGTAAGGAACCTCTGGAGTGTTTGCCTCGTAAGGAACTTCCAGAGTGCCTCTGCCCAGGTTCAGGCGAGTGGGGAATGGGGCCTACCTGACCCAGTTGGGAACATTATAGTTTCCCCTTTCATTTATTGAAGGGAACTTGTTTCCTCTAAGATTATTTCCCTGTCCCCTCCAGATTTGGGCTAAAATCTTCACTAGACTTGAGGGAGCAGGTCTCGTATGGTATATTCCGTTGTAGGTAAGTAAATTTATTTAGGTACAGGTACACATAAGTACAATTGTCATACCTTGTAATAAAAGTATAATTATCATACCTAATAATGTAAGTGTAATTATCATACTTGTAACATAAGTACAATTATCATACCTAGTAACATAAGTACAATTATCATACCTAGTAACATAAGTACAATTATCATACCTTGTAACATAAGTACAATTATCATACCTAATAATGTAAGTGCAATTATTAAACCTAGTAACTTAAGTACAATTATCATACCTTGTAACGTAAGTACAATTATCATACCTAGTAACATAAGTACAGTTATCATACCTTGTAACATAAGCATAATTATCATACCTAGTAAAATAAGTACAGTTATCATGCCTAATAACATAGGTACAATTATCATATCTCATAACATAACTACAATTATTATACCAAGTAACATAAGTTCAACTATCATACCTTGTAACATAAGTACAGTGGTACCCCAAATTTTGAACTTAATCCGTTCCAGGAGCTAGTTTTAAAGTCATAATGTTCGAAACTCAAAGCAGTATTTCCCATAAGAAATAATGTAAATCCAATTAATCCGTTCCAGACCCACAAAAATATTCACAAAAATGAATTTTTTAAAGAATAACAATGGTTTTACATACACAAAACGATTATAAATACATATAGTACTTAAATGAGAAACGAAAAAGATAAATAGGCATTTAAGTAAACATTTAAAATCACATTTATGTACCTTTATTGAATACTCTTGTTGGCATCTGGAAGATAGGGAAAAGGAGAGAGGGAGGACTTGTTATTGCCTCCACCACTGCCTCCACCACTGCCTCCACCACTACCTCCACCACTGCCTCCACCACTGCCTCCACCACTACCTCCACCACTGCCTCCACCACCACCTCCATCACTGCCTCCACCACTGCCTCCACCACTGCCTCCACCACTGCCTCCACCACTGCCTTCACCACTGCCTCAACCACTGCGGCACACTGCCTCGTATTTTTGTACAATTTCTTTCTTCGCATCTATGGTGTTTCACACTTTCTTTACCAAAGGGGTGCCACTAGGAAGTTTGTTTGGGCCCATGGTGGATTATTTCAGTCACAATCAATAAACAAGCACTAAACACAATGAATTTATTGTGAAATGTTTGGATGAGAGTACAGTGTAATGTTCAATCAAGGATAAACAAAGCTAGACTGGCTCACAATACCTGCCTGGGCAGGTGTGCAGGCATGGGCAGGCAGACAGGTGTGGTACATAGTTCGAAACACGGGGCACGTTCGATACTTGGGACAAAATTGGTGCGAAAAAAGCAGTCAAAACTCAAAGCTTTTGATAGTCAATGCGTTCAAAACTCGGGGTTCCACTGTACAATTATCATACCTAGTAACATACAGGTGGGCCCCACTCATACAGCAGGTAAGGGTCTGAGCTACTTTCAGATGAATACAAAAGCCTGATAACATGTTTACTTAAGAACATAAGAAAGAAGGAACACTGCAACAGGCCTACTGACCCATGTGGAGCAGATCCATGTTTCCCCCAGATTAGACCAATGACACACCCCCCGGATTATCCCAATAACCCACCCATTCTGGTCATCCCCACTCAAGGATGGAGCACTGTACCAGACCCAGCAGCACAAGCTAGTCAGGTCCAACTCACACCCACCCACACCCACTCATATATTACATAAACAACATAGCTAAGCCTAAAAAATGCATATACAGTGCGCACATTACTCATCTTATATATATTTTTGTCTTTAACTTATAGTGAGCAGTGAATATATTTATTGTAGGAAATCTGAATATGTGAAGAATGGGTATAACTGAAAATTGCTGTATTAGCGAAATGCTGTAGAGCGGGGCTTGCCTGTATATATGTAAATGACCCATAAAAACAACAACAAATGAACAAAAAGAAGTAATGTTATGTCAGATGTCTTCTCATGGTCCATCATCCTTCAGGAATGCTGGCAAAGACTCTTGATCCAAGGAATTATAGTTGACTTCCAGTTCCTTGGACGAGACCTGATTGTCTCTTATACACCATTAGCTGTGTGAGTTTTATGGGTTTAGAGCTTCCCAGTAAATATCTTAATACAATAGTGATTTGTGAAATTACTTTCACGTTTTATTTTTTGCTAATTCTTTATATGTTGGCTCCTCTCAAAAGTTTCTTGATGACAGTGACGTGCTCTTGATCTGGAGAATTGGAATGATTCTTCCCTTATTTACATTGAACTTCAAAACCCCAGTTGCTACATAATTATTAGGATTCCATGCTTTTCCATGAATATATGTACATATATATGTATTATTATTTTTTATTGTTTTAACTATTATTATTATTATGACAGGTCGACCATCACTAATCCAGCATCATTGGGACCTGTTGGGTGCCAGATGAGTGTTTTTGCCAGATCACAGAGTGGTTAGGATAGAATACACTTAATCCAAAAGTTAACTACCTCATCCTGCCTTTAAAATACTTGGTAAATCAGTACAAGTTGGTTAATAAAGTTAACCAACTTGACTTACACAAGAAAGTTTGTCACTGCCACTTCCAAAGTGAAGAGCTGAAATTTACAACTAAGCACATTTACATATCTTGAGGTGAGGAGCTGTCAGGATTCCCATCTTCTTGAGGTGAAGGGCTGTCAGGATTCCCATCTTCATCTTGGAAGGTGACTGAAAAATCCAGAACTGATGATGACAGTGGCAGCACGTCTGGATGAGCTGATGTTGAAGGCACTAGATTTCTAAATGTCTTGCAAGCTGAGCTGTTTCATATATTTTGTTCTTTCATTGATCAGTTTATCCTGCAGCATGTAAATGTTCATTATTTCTTGTTCACTTATAAAGATAAAGAAAAAGATACATTATTTCAGCATGATACAATGTTTGTACAAAGATGAATTACATTTAGATGTGCATACTGAAAGCCCTTTAATATGCAGAGCATTTTTGGCAAACTTAAGACTAACTTAAGATTAATAAGGCAGTTAAGAGACAGACTTTCAGCTACATCTTCCTCATTTTCATCACTGCTTTCTCCTCCACTGGCTTATTGCTGTGGACTTACAACCATCTGCACAATCTCTGAGTCAGTATAATGATGAACAGTAACTGCATATTCATCTACATTCATCAATTCCCCAACATTATCTTCATCCATCCTCGATGCAAGATCCTTCGCAGCAGGATTAGTCAGATCATGAGCATAAGAAAGAAGATCATGTATAATCTGTTTTTCCCTTGAAGCCCTAAATCCTGTAAAGTCATTTTCAATGCCTTCACCAGGTGCAATCTCAAACATTAACCTGGTCACAATTTATGCCATCCATTTTTCCAGTGTGGATGCCTCTACAGACTTCGAAGCATTGGCAACACAGTAAACCATATCTCTCACATTAAATTCCTTAACTCTTTGACTGTCGCAAGCCCATTTCTGAAACTGTCATTCTATGTCGAAAATTTTTTTGAAAAAAAATTTTTTTTTTTTCTTATGAAATGATAGAGAATCTTTTCCCTATGGCAATGACACCAAAAGTAAGAAATTGGGTCGAAATCTCACGGAATTACGCTCCCACGAAGTTAGCGGTTTCGGTGACATATACGCATCGGCGATTTCGCCGAATTTGAGCCCTGTTTTTAGCCAGTTCTGTTGTTCCAGTTGACCAAACTCATAATTATTTCTTTAGAACTCCATTTTTTTCTATCAATTGAGTACAAGAACCCACCCATTTACCAATTTGAACTACCCGATAAAGTGGTCAGAAATTGGCAATTTGGCCAATTTCACGCATATTAAAAAAGATGCCAATTTCAAAATAGGGTACAGAATAAACAATGTAGACATTCTTTGCACTAAAATAACATATTCTCTGTTTATTAGTCATGTCTCTAGGCCCCTCTTATATTACTATTGCTTTCTATTTTGATTTTTTATTCTTACAAAAAATACAAAATTTACTGTTATGCAGACTACGGCATTATTGTAAAAATGGTATAAATAATATCAGTGCACTAGTGAAAGAATATTAGACTCCCCAGTTGACGTGTATTGGACATGTGGTGTGATTTGCTTACTCCTGAACATTGGTAAAATCGAACATTTCTGCTACTTTGAGCTCAATTTCAAGGTCGTTTTCATCGTGAAACTAATCAAAATCATCTCTATTTCTGTAATATATTTTCCATTTTATCATGGGAGACCATGAAAACGAGAATACAACAATAAATACTATACGAAAATGCACCTCAAAGTCGGCGTTTTAATCCAAAAAAACAGTCAGTTTTTTTTTCTCATTATGCATTGCGTGCTGCAGGATTTTTTTTTTATGTGGTGCACACTGACCACACAGACCCATTCTCTCACATGTGGGCCTACCAGCTTTCTACTGCTTGATTTGAAGCCACTAGAATTATTGAGTATACATGTATATACGTCCGAAACACTGGCTCGTAAGACGTATATATACGACCAAAACAGTCAGAGGGTTAAGCTCATGTACTGGTCTGCCAGAGTTAACTGCACTCAGTAGGTGCTTCATAAAATGGGTGCAATACCTAGACCTAAAAGAATGTAGTATGCCATTGTCCTGGGGTTGAATTAATTATGTGCAGTTAGGTGGGAAGTAAATATTGAAAATGTTGTTCTTTACCAGGAGCTTTGCTTTCAGATGTGTGGAAAAGTTGTCTAAAATAAGCATTATCTTACAGTTTGGTCCAGGCCAACAGAGTCACAGGGAGCTCTTACTTTAGGAACAAAATAATTTTCAAACCAATCCAATGTAATGTCAGTTGTTATCCATCCTTTTTTGTTGGCATGGTAAATCACAGGAAACTGTGTCATACCTTTGAAAATCTTCTTTCTTTCTTTCAACACATCGGCCATATCCCACCGAGGCAGGGTGGCCCAAAAGGAAAGACGAAAGTTTCTCCTTTTACATTTAGTAATATAAACAGGAGAACTGGTTACTAGCCCCTTGCTCCTGGCATTTTAGTCGCCTCTTAAAACACGCATGTCTTACGGAGGAAGAATTCTGATCCACTTCCCCATGGAGATAACAGGAAATAAATAAGAACAAGAAATAGTAAGAAAATAGAAGAAAACCCAGAGGGGTCTGTGTATATATATATACGTATATGCTTGTACATGTATGTGTAGTGTGACCTAAGTGTAAGAAGAAGTAGCAAGATGTACCTGAAATCTTGCATGTTTCTTTCTTTCAACACACCGGCCGTATCCCACCGAGGCGGGGTGGCCCACAAGGAAAAACGAAAGTTTCTCCTTTTACATTTAGTAATATATACAGGAGAAGAGGTTACTAGCCCCTTGCTCCCGGCATTTTAGTCGCCTCTTACAACACACATGGCTTATGGAGGAAGAATTCTGTTCCACTTCCCCATGGAGATAAGAGGAAATAAACAAGAATAAGAACTACAAAGAAAATAGAAGAAAACAAGAGGGGTGTGTATATATATGCTTGTACATGTATGTGTAGTGTGACCTAAGTGTAAGTAGAAGTAGCAAGACGTACCTGAAACCTTGCATGTTTATGAGACAGAAAAAAGACACCAGCAATCCTACCATCATGTAAAACAATTACAGGTTTCCGTTTTACACTCACTTGGCAGGACGGTAGTACCTCCCTGGGCGGTTGCTGTCTACCAACCTACTACTTAGGACCTTTGAAAATACTGGGACATTAACTTTTACTGATGACCAGCAGCTTACTCCTGTGTGTTCCTGCGGCATTAGAGCAGCCCAGCACAGTGCCATGATCTTTCAGTGCTTCATGACTGGCTGTTGATTCTGCATCCTCAGTTGTCAGAGTTGTTCTTGGCATACATTTCCAGTACAAGGCTGTCTCATCTGCATTGGAAAATTGCTCAGGACTTAATTTTTCATTTGAAACTAACTTGGAGAACTCATTAACAAATTTAGTAGCTGCTTCCTTGTCCGCTGAATGTTTTTCACCACACACTGAACAAAACTTTAAGCCATGCCAATCTTTGAAATGCTACAGCCAACCTTCACTATAATCACATTCATAATCTAGTCCTAGTTCTTCATGAAAAATTTTGGCTTGTTCCTTCACCAGATCTCCAGACATCTCAACACCTTCACTTACACATAGCCTAACCTACTTCATCAGAACTTGATCTAGTTCTGAACTTTTTCCTTCCTTCATTGTTTTCTTTTTACACATCTGTTCCTTTGAATCACTGTTAGCAAAGAAACTGAGTCATTTCTCTTTCTGTTTCTTTATGTCATAAACTTTCAAATAGCCAGTGCTGTACAATTCACATAAGTTTCTCACAGACACACTGCTATTGAGTTTTTTTCAGAAGTTCAGCCTTATCTTTTATGGACAATGAATGGTGTTTGTGCTTTACACAGCGAGAAGCATTTCTTTTATTCATTGGAACCATGGCTGGGGCTAAAAGTGAGCAGGTTATAACAATAAATGGAGAAAAACAAATTGGAATGTCTTGCCTGTGTTTGCAAGCGATGCATTGTTTATGCAGCAAGTAGTACCACCAAACGATAGCAGTAGGTTGGGGCAGTGACCTGGGAAATTTGAAATTACGCTAGCCGAAATTAATACCGGATTAGTGATTGCCGGATCCGTCATGGCTGACCTGTATCATTTATTATTTATATATTTATGTATTTATTTATATTTTATGTATGATTATTATTATTATTATTATTATTTATTTTCCAGGTTATGTGTAATCAGTGATAAAAATAATTCCATTTAATTCTGAGCTAATATTAGTTTCCAATTTCTAGGGCTGCTGATATACAGTGATCAAGTTGTATATTTATGAATGTAAACCAAGCTTTGCTGACATGGAGCCTACAGATGACTTCGATTCCAATAGCGAGAGTTATTCTGCATCGTCTAGGCACTCAGAAGAGTCTTCATATGAGTAAGTTACTGGATACTGTTCCGTATCATTGGTACATTACAGAAGTGGGCAATCCTTGGGCTTGGTTCAACTTATATACCTGTTAACTGCAATTCGAAAGACATCCAGACTTACTCCTCTTTCTTGATATTGTCTTGTTAAGATATTTTACTAATATAAATTTTTAAAGGGGGAAGACCGGTAAGCCAGGGAAAGGCCTCAGTCATATGACCAAAAGCTCCAGTGGCAGGTCATCATATGACTAAGACTTACATCAGGAATACTTGTCATGTCTCCTGACAAATCTTACCTAACCTCGTTAAGCCACATTTGATGAGTGATGAGTATTCACTGAAGTTTGTGAGTCACAGATTGGCCACGCCTGGTAGGATTATCACATTAAAACTTATAGTGTGTCACTTAGACTTGCAAGATCAGTATTGTCAAAGCATTGATCAGTCCAAGGGATAGTTAAGGAGTGTGTAATAATAATATTAGTGGGGTAAATATTCTGTATTCTTGTATTATGAGTTCAGTATATCATCATACTAATGTATATATTCACTGTAGGTATATATTCATTGTAGACAAAATGAATGCACATAAATATGTAAATTTGACTTTGTGTCTTTGATTTGTTATTAATTTTATTACAGTATTATTACAGCATTATTATTAATATTATTATCATTCATGATAGAGTAAACTTTATAAGAACCAGCATTTGAAAAACAGAATTCCCAAGAAATACACATTTTTAAGGATTGCCCTTACAAGTTCACTTTCAGAGCAGGCACCCGAAGCAGTTCTCTCCGTTGCCTATCATCTTGAAATGCTTTAGTCGCCTCACCACAATGTTATTTTATTTAGTTTAATCTGCTTTTTTATGTGTCAAAGTGTATATTAACCCTTTCAGGGTCCAAGGCCCAAATCTGAAGTGGTGCCCCAGTGTCCAAGAATTTAAAAAAAAAAAAATTTGTTATTTTTTCTTATGAAATCGTAGAGAATCTTTTTGTGAAGGTAATAAAACAAAAAGTACGAAATTTGGTGGAAAATTGACGAAATTATGCTCTCGCGAATTTTGATGTGTCAGCGATATTTACGAATCGGCGATTTTGCCGATTACATTATTCCAATCAACCAAATTCTTAGCTATTTCATTAGTATTACTTCTATTCTATCGATTGAGCACAAGAAATCGCCAAGTCAACTGTTTCAACTACAAAATAAAGTGATCGGAAATTGTTAATTTGGCCAATTTAACACAAAGTTCAAAATATTCCAATTTCAAAATAGGCTCCAGAATAAACAATGTAGGTATTCCTGGAACTAAACTAACATTTCCTCTGTTCATTAGTTACATTTTGAGGCTTTACAAATAAATTCCATTTTGATTTTTTATTCACATAATGAATTTTTATTCACACCAAAAAATAGAAGATTTACTGTTATGCAATACTGTAATAATTGTATAAATATCATCACCATATTTGTGAATGTATATTAGACCCACCAGCTGACGTGTATTAGATGTGTGAGGTCGTTTGTTTACTCTTGAATATCGGCAAAAATTTAACATTTCCGCTACTTTGAGCTCAGTTTCAAGCCATTTCCAGTGCTAAAACCAATCAAAATCATCTCTATTTCTGTAATATGTCTTCCATTCTATCAAATGAGACCAAGAAATCGCAAATACAACTATAAAAAACATATGAAAAAACACTGCAAAGTCGCTGTTTTAATCGAAAAATCATGATTTCAGTTTTTTTCTCTCATTATACACAGTGTGCTGCAGGATCTGTTTTATGTGGTGCACACATACCACATAGATGTATTCTCTCATATCTAGGCCCAAATGTACCACTCACAGTTTATCAGAGTGAGCTGAGCTCATGGCGTAGATCTACGGTTTGGACCCTGAACGTAAAGCCGTAGATCTACGGGACGGACCCTGAAAGGGTTAAGTTTAGCTTATAAAAAATAATAATTATAAAATAGCATTTTGTCAGTATTTTCCAGAAGGCTGGCATAACTTTAGTCTGAGGAGGCCAAATTTTAAAGGATTTATTGTATTGCTTAATGATTTTATCACTTCTCTTTATTGATTTTTTCCCAGTAGCATTATTATTAATGCATACAGTGGACCCCCGCATAACGATCACCTCCGAATGCGACCAATTATGTAAGTGTATTTATGTAAGTGCATTTGTACGTGTATGTTTGGGGGTCTGAAATGGACTAATCTACTTCACAATATTCCTTATGGGAACAAATTCGGTCAGTACTGGCACCTGAACATACTTCTGGAGTGAAAAAATATCGTTAACCGGGGGTCCACTGTATTTCCAAACTAACCCTACATCATCATTCTCTTCCAGTACTACCTTAATTATTCTCACTTTTCTTACCTTCCCTCCCAGTTGTACCCTAATGTCCACCCGCTCTTCTTTCCCTCTCCTTTACATGGAGGCCTCTCCCATCAGAAGGAGTTTAAAACAGATGCACAGCAAGCACTGGTTATCTTGCAAATGTCTTGATGCCACACCTGGGAAGCTTATCAGCATACCATACTCCACCTAAAAATGGTCTTCTGCTACTTCAGGCTCGAATATGGCTGCCAGATATGCTTCTGCACTTGCTCATTTCTGATGCATTTGCTATATTCTGTTCTCTGCTTGGGAATTTGACTTTGCACTGGGGCATTCTGAATGTTCCTTTTTGAGAACCTGTATGTTAATTCTGGTGAATTTTTCTTGGATTTTTATGCTTTAGATTTAACATATTCCAGTAATATTGCTTATTGTGGGGTTTATGTAGTCACTGAATGTAAATTTTCACTTAAGTTAATTATTAAGTAATACTTGGATGTTTAACTATGCCTAGGTATGAAGATGCAGAATGGCTAAAACATGTGCAGAATGATGGTTCCCTTCTCTATGTGGAGTCTTATGTTTCAAGTACAGTAAGAGAGAAGCAAGTGCAAGCTCTTAAAGCATCTGGAGGATTGGAAAAGAAACCTGCTTTCTCATCTCCTTCAAAAGAAATAAAAAAGAAGAGTAAGTAATAATAAATTTAAGGGTTAGAATAGTTGTTTATTTTAATTCGAGTTTCATTTTGAGGCTTCTTAAATATTATTTATATTTGTTCCAGGTATTTTAGTCTCTTACAACATACATGGCTTATGAGGAAAGATTTCTAACCCACTTTCCTATGAAATGGAAAAAGAAATGATAGATATTTTTTTTTCACATTGACTGTTTCCCACCTAGGCAAGGTGACCTGAAAAAGAAAAAACACTTTCATCATTATAATGAATATTGAAGGTATTGGTAAGTAATTTTTTTTTAATATCAACCTGACAAATATACAGCACTAAATCCAGGAATTGTCCAGTGAGAGAAATGTCCTTGTGGGGAAAAGCTCACTTACAAGGTACCATAAGAATCAGTACTTGCCCCAATAATATTTCTTATTTATATAATTGACTTCCCTTTAGCACTCCTCACTGCTCTTATTAACTCATCCTCTGGCATACTCTTCACCCTCACTGGTCTCTGATCAGGCGTATTATGCCTTTAGCACACTTTACCCTTCAGCACTGTATGACCCTTGTGGGTCATACAGTGCTGCAGGGTAGGGTGTGCTAAGGGCACTTAGTTATGATTCTAATAATAATATATAATTAACTTCCCAGAAGGAATAAAAACTACATGAAACATTTTTGCAAACGATGCAAAAATTGTATGCAGAGTAATAAAAATTACCATAAATCTCTACAAAACTGATAAATTTAATAAATCAATCAATGAAGAATGACATAACTTAATAAGCACTATTGAATGAAATGAAAAGAGAGCAAAAACAGGCTTCATGCTGATTATTTAATGTTTTACAATATTTATTGAAAGTAATTATAGGCACTAGAATATTACCAGAAGAAATGCTGTATTAATGAATTAGGGAGAAACTTGTGTTCTTCACTAGCAAACTTAGATAGCCTTCAGCTGTGGTGCAACTTATTTCATGATAAAATTTTAATAGGAAGCAGTAGTGTGTTGTCCCCACTTAAAAAAAATTGGTTAAGATAGGAAAAGTCCAAATACTTGCTACAAAATGGCTTCTAGAGCTAAACAGTTAATTTGCAGACAATGAAGATCTCATTGATTGATAGGAAAGGAGACATGATAACCACAATAAAAGACTGCAAGAAAAGAGATAAAGATTTTTTGAGCAGTGAAAACAAGAAGGAACAATTGCAAACCTAGAGAAAAGTAGGGCTGAAAAGATGCCATAATTTTTCTTAAGAAATTGTGGTAAAATACTGCAATGGAATGCAAGGAAAGGTAATAAGTGCTGCAACCACTGGAAAGTTTAAAAACATTACCTGGAGCACCACTCTTGTAACTTCAGATAGGTAGAGGTAATCGTAAATAGGCAATCTCTCTCATCTTGCTTAGCAATTCACATTTTTCTTTTTCCTTTACAGACAAATTGCTAAGATTGCTGAAACGTAGACCAAGTGTAAGAGTTAAGGGCACACCACGAGTCGGTACTGGGGGTGAAGGAGGAACAAAGGGTGGATCTGACTTGACTTCGCCTCCAAAAGTGACCTTTAGAGATAACCCAAGTGGGGAAGTGAGGAAAATTAATCTTCAGGTAAGTTTTTTATTTGGTCTACTAGATGAATACAACTTTTAATGGTTATGTAAAGAGTTATACACTTTAATGATACATAAATGTCAGAGTATACACTATTCTCAGACTATATTCTCCTTCAAGGGAAGGTGTCTCATTGCTATTGAAGGGATATTGATCCAAGGAATTGAAGTAGATCTCTTCTTTGGATTAACCCTGAATACTTCCCATTTCCACTAAAATGCATACTAGAATTTTTTGTAGTTACCTTGATGTAAGTAAGACTCTTCTTTATATGAATTAGACAAAATATGAAACGGCATTTATCTTTTTGATTTGTGCTTGCAGGTGTACGAAGGTGGCAACAACTTAGGGCGACGAGCAAGCCTTTGTGAAACTGTTCTTGGTGTCGTACCTGGCCGCTTCAGTGAGCCCCCAGATTCTAGGGTCATGGTTGCTGGCCTCGTACCTGGCTCACAAGCACTAAGAAATGGTGTCATCAAAATTGGTAATATACTTGAAAAAGAGATTTGGTAATAAGTAATACATATTTTATGAAAAAGAGGATAAATAAATATACAAGGTATGATGTAGCATGTAATGAAAGTAGTTTATTAGATTATGTATTAGTGGATAAAAGGTTGATGGGTAGGCTCCAGGATGTACATGTTTATAGAGGGGCAACTGATATATCGGATCATTATTTAGTTGTAGCTACAGTTAGAGTAAGAGGTAGATGGGAAAAGAGGAAGGTGGCAACAACAAGTAAGAGGGAGGTGAAAGTGTATAAACTAAGGGAGGAGGAAGTTCGGGTGAGATATAAGTGACTATTGACAGAAAGGTGGGCTAGTGCAAAGATGAGTAGTGGGAGGGTTGAAGAGGGTTGGAATAGTTTTAAAAAAAGCAGTATTAGAATGTGGGGCAGAAGTTTGTGGTTATAGGAGGGTGGGGGCAGAAGGAAAGAGGAGTGATTGGTGGAATGATGAAGTAAAGGGTGTGATAAAAGAGAAAAAGGTAGCTTATGAGAGGTTTTTACAAAGCAGAAGTGTTATAAGAAGAGCAGAGTATATGGAGAGTAAAAGAAAGGTAAAGAGAGTGGTGAGAGAGTGCAAAAGGAGAGCAGATGATAGAGTGGGAGAGGCACTGTCAAGAAATTTTAATGAAAATAAGAAAAAATTTTGGAGTGAGTTAAACAAATTAAGAAAGCCTAGGGAAAGTATGGATTTGTCAGTTAAAAACAGAGCAGGGGAGTTAGTAGATGGGGAGATGGAGGTATTAGGTAGATGGCGAGAATATTTTGAGGAACTTTTAAATGTTAAGGAAGAAAGAGAGGCAGTAATTTCATGCACTGGTCAGGGAGGTACACCATCTTTTAGGAGTGAAGAAGAGCAGAATGTAAGTGTGGGGGAGGTACGTGAGGCATTACGTAGAATGAAAGGGGGTAAAGCAGCTGGAACTGATGGGATCATGACAGAAATGTTAAAAGCAGGGGGGGATATAGTGTTGGAGTGGTTGGTACTTTTGTTTAATAAATGTATGAAAGAGGGGAAGGTACCTAGGGATTGGCGGAGAGCATGTAGTCCCTCTATATAAAGGGAAAGGGGACAAAAGAGACTGTAAAAATTATAGAGGGATAAGTTTACTGAGTATACCAGGAAAAGTGTACGGTAGGGTTATAATTGAAAGAATTAGAGGTTAGACAGAATGTAGGATTGCGGATGAGCAAGGAGGTTTCAGAGTGGGTAGGGGATGTGTAGATCAAGTGTTTACATTGAAGCATATATGTGAACAGTATTTAGATAAAGGTAGGGAAGTTTTTATTGCATTTATGGATTTAGAAAAGGCATATGATAGAGTGGATAGAGGAGAAATGTGGCAGATGTTGCAAGTATATGGAATAGGTGGTAAGTTATTAAATGCTGTAAAGAGTTTTTATGAGGATAGTGAGGCTCAGGTTAGGGTGCGTAAAAGAGAGGGAGACTACTTCCCGGTAAAAGTAGGTCTTAGACAGGGATGTGTAATGTCACCATGGTTGTTTAATATATTTATAGATGGGGTTGTAAAGGAAGTAAATGCTAGGGTGTTCGGGAGAGGGGTGGGATTAAATTTTGGGGAATCAAATTCAAAATGGGAATTGACACAGTTACTTTTTGCTGATGATACTGTGCTTATGGGAGATTCTAAAGAAAAATTGCAAAGGTTAGTGGATGAGTTTGGGAATGTGTGTAAAGGTAGAAAGTTGAAAGTGAACATAGAAAAGAGTAAGGTGATGAGAGTATCAAATGGTTTAGATAAAGAAAAATTGGATATCAAATTGGGGAGGAGGAGTATGGAAGAAGTGAATGTTTTCAGATACTTGGGAGTTGATGTGTCGGCGGATGGATTTATGAAGGATGAGGTTAATCATAGAATTGATGAGGGAAAAAAGGTGAGTGGTGCGTTGAGGTATATGTGGAGTCAAAAAACGTTATCTATGGAGGCAAAGAAGGGAATGTATGAAAGTATAGTAGTACCAACATTCTTATATGGGTGTGAAGCTTGGGTGGTAAATGCAGCAGCGAGGAGACGGTTGGAGGCAGTGGAGATGTCCTGTTTAAGGGCAATGTGTGGTGTAAATATTATGCAGAAAATTCGAAGTGTGGAAATTAGGAAAAGGTGTGGAGTTAATAAAAGTATTAGTCAGAGGGCAGAAGAGGGGTTGTTGAGGTGGTTTGGTCATTTAGAGAGAATGGATCAAAGTAGAATGACATGGAAAGCAAATGAATCTATAGGGGAAGGAAGGCGGGGTAGGGGTCATCCTCGAAAGGGTTGGAGAGAAGGGGTAAAGGAGGTTTTGTGGGCAAGGGGCTTGGACTTCTAGCAAGCGTGCGTGAGCGTGTTAGATAGGAGTGAATGGAGACGAATGATACTTGGGACCTGACGATCTGTTGGAGTGTGAGCAGGGTAATATTTAGTGAAGGGATTCAGGGAAACCGGTTATTTTCATATAGTCGGACTTGAGTCCTGGAAATGGGAAGTACAATGTCTGTACTTTAAAGGAGGGGTTTGGGATATTGGCAGTTTGGAGGGATATGTTGTGTATCTTTATATGTGTATGCTTCTAAACTGTTGTATTCTGAGCACCTCTGCAAAAACAGTGATAATGTGCGAGTGTGGTGAAAGTGTTGAATGATGATGAAAGTATTTTCTTTTTGGGGATTTTCTTTCTTTTTTGGGTCACCCTGCCTCGGTGGGAGACGGCTGACTGGTTGAAAAAAAAAAAAAAAAAAAAAAAACTTGAAAAATTAAGAAAATTGTTCACAAGTTTCAACTATTATACGATGAAAGTGTACAAAATGTTAATGTTTTTATTGGGAAGTTATCATTGCATGACCCATAATATCTCAGTAGGTACAGTGACCTCTTTGAAAATATGTATCTTTGGAACATGGCTTTGCCAGAGTGAAAATTATTCATAATCTTTTATCAAATACAGGTGACCCCTTTTTATATGATGTAGATGTGTACAGGCCTGTGCCAGCTGTTCTAGGTTTATTCAAGTTAAAAACCCTTAATGCACAGCATGCTAGTGGCTTTCTTTAGTGCTTAACAATATTTTGTTACATGTAAACTACATTTTGTGAATTGCACAAAGAAATTGTTTGTTTGTTAATTACACACAAGAATCTTCAGTGCACTTTGTAAGCTGTACTGCTTGCACAGGGCAGCCAGATATCAAGTACACAGAATTACTGATGGAAATAGATCACATAACAGCAAATTTGCATAAAGCAAGTCTGCATAAAGGAAGGGAGTTCTGTACTGTAATTTATATTATTAGGACTGATTGTTAATATTAACTCTTGTTTGCTATCCATAGTGTTACTAGTATGCCATAGTATCAATTTTTTTTATTTAATAGCTGTGAAAACTCAAGCCATACACTTAGTTTTATGAATTTTAACACTCGGAAAGCAAAGAATTGTGCATTTTTCAATTAATACTGTATTGTAGTCAGTACTCTTATTTGGCTTGTTATTGCTTATTCATATTGCATATATTTTATACAGTATACTAATTTTAGTAATGGAAAATCCTTTAAGTTAATATTATTTTAAAATGTTTAAATTTGTTGCTGGTTCAAGTTTACATGTGTTCTTGATTCTTTAATGGAATCTTATTTAAACAATTAATTTAAAAGAGTTTGCATAGAATAATTTATTTATTATTTATTAACACATTGACTGTTTCCCACCAAGGCAGTGTGGCCCGAAAAAGAAAAACTTTCATCATCATTCACTCCATCACTGTCTTGCCAGAGGCGCACTTACACTACATTTATGAAACTGCAACATAGAATAAATATACTAAAACCTTAGATGGGAATATTACAGAGCACCTTTAATACAGACAGCCTCTCCTCACTTAGCAACGTACTCGTTTACTGATGACTCGGACTTACAACAGGCTCTCTCACCAGTGTGCATACCTAAATACAGTGGACCCCCGGTTCGCGATGCTATTGGTATCCGATAAATCCGGTAACCGATGCATTATGTCGCAGAAAATTTGCCTCGGTTCCCGTTACAAAACCTGGTATGCAATGCGGTTCGTATGAGACATGTCCACGTGTGGCCTGAACTGCCCCGTGTGTGCCAGTGTTTACAAGCCAGCCAGTGTGCGTGCATCTAAGGCTACATTCGGTACATTCCATAATATCCATATTATCACTGTTTTTGGTGCTTGTTTCTGCAAAATAAGTCACCATGGGCCCCAAGAAAGCTCCTAGGGCCAACCCTTTGAGACCAAGGGTGCTAATGACTGTTGAAATGAAGAAAGAGATAATTGCAAAGTACGAAAGTGGAATGCATGTGTCGGAGCTGGTCAGGTTGTATAGTAAACCCCAATCAACCATCTCTACTATAGTGAGCAGGAAAACGGCAATCAAAGAAGCTGTTCTTGCAAAAGGTGCAACTGTGATTACGAAACAGCGACCGCAAGTGTTAGAAAATGTTGAGAGACTGTTATTGGTGTGGATAAATGAAAAACAGATAGCAGGAGATAGCATCTCTCAAGCGATCATTTGTGAAAAGGCTAGGCAGTTGCATGACGATTTGGTAAAAAAATTGCCTGCAACTAGTGGTGATGTGAGTGAATTTAAGGCCAGCAAAGTTTGGTTTGAAAGATTTAAGAATCGTAGTGGCATACATAGTGTGATTAGGCATGGTGAGGCTGCCAGTTCAGACCACAAAGCGGCTGAAAAATATGTGCATGAATTCAAGGAGTCCATTGAGGCTGAAGGATTGAAACCTGAACAAGTGTTTAATTGTGACAAAACAGGCCTGTTTTGGAATAAATTGCCAAGCAGGACCTACATTACTCAGGAGGAAAAGGCACTCCCAGGACATAAGCCTATGAAAGACAAGCTTACTCTTCTGATGTGTGCCAATGCTAGTGGTGATTGCAAAGTGAAGCCTTTATTGGTGTATCACTCAGAAACTCCCAGAGCATTCAGGCAAAAGAATATCC